CGTCACTCCAGGAGCCCGTCAGTCTCGCCAGAGGAGCCCGTCCTGCACTACTGATTGACCAGTGTAGCTCTGTCCACCTGAACCACGCAGAGAAGAGTTTTTTCCAGACACCAGGACTAAATGAACTGTTGCCATGGAGCTCTTGTATTACTGAGAATCCTAGAAGTGACACTACTCTTGGAAATCCAGGGGAAACTGCACCTTTTCAGAAGCATTCGTTGCTCACCAAAAAGTGTTACCGTTGTACGCACCTTTCAGGATCACTGTAGCCCTGGACGACCAATAATTGTTTTTTTTTTTCAAAGAGAAAGCTTCGTTGCAAGTCCCAATCGTATAACTCAGCTGCTAGTTTTTAACCATTTCTGCATGAACACTCAGCAAAAGTTACTGCTAATCAACTGTAAAAGTTATAAAAACGAACGTGAATTACGGCTTCCTCAACATCAGCCAGAAGCACAAGCTCTTCGTCGAAAAGACCACCAATATAATAGCATATCGATTCCAGTACATAGGTATTTAGCGCCAATTTTGTCGCCATGTGCTGAACAGTGTTCTGGTTAAGCAAGTACCACGGGAGACCGATTCATTCTCAAATGTCCACCATTCTTGCGGTTCTAATCAAAAGTTGCTAAAATGTGACAACTAACCACTACCAGTGACCTGTACAAGTCTTTTTTATTTTACTGGATCTTTTCTCGCGTGTTCGTTTTCTAACTCAAACATATCACGTATGTCCGCTTCATAAACTGAGGCTACAACAACAACAACAACAACAACAACAACAACAACAACAACAACAACAACTACTACTACTACTACTACTCCTCCTCCTACTACTACCACTACTACTACTACTACCACAGGCGGATCCAGGACGGATTCCTGGAAGAGGGAGGGTTTTTGCATCCATATTATGATGGCCAGGCCAGACAGACGCTATGATTCTTTTTTTCGTATTTGGCATTATTCCGTAATTCGTTCGTGCTGTTTTTTAACTGCAGCAAATGTGCGATAGGCTGCTTTTTATTTTATAATCTCGAAATTACTATGCGCCATAGTTACCATGCCCACCTTGGGGTGAAAAAAAAAAACATTTGCGCGAAAGATGAAAAAAAGTATGGTATGCAAAAACTTCAGCGCAATGTCACGGCGACACGCCGGGATCTATTTGGGAACCAATGATGTGTGTTACTGAGATACAGTCACACGCCGAGGACGGCAATACGCGGCCCTCCTACCCGAGAATAGATAACAACACGGCATCTGAAAACGTACCGACCTTTAAAGCGTCCTTTTCGGCTAAACGCGCACCGTGCTGCAATGTCCTATTGGAATATTCGGCAAGTTTACCTGCAAACAAAAATAT